TCAAATTTTATTAAAACTAAAAAATTCATTATTTTTTTGTAATTTAAGTTATTTAATATTTACCCAAATATAATTAGTTTTATTTTTTTTTATATTTTTGTCATTTTATTTTTAACAGTTATTTTCATTAAATATAATAATTTTTTTATTTTTAAAAATTATAAAAAATTTTACAGATATTTCTACTAAACAAATATTATCTTATTAAAAAATACTTTTATTGAAAAATTATTTTAACTACAGTTTTATAACTTACAAAAGAAATTATAGCTATATCAAATGGGCCCTTATTTAGTAGTTTATGGTGTCAAACTATTTTGTCTCAAAGTTTTAGTGATAGTCATTTAATTTTCATCTTTTTTTTAATATACAAGATTTGAATTAATATTGGATTAATTAAATGTGAAGTAATAGTAACTTAAACATAATAAATTATATTTAATAAAATTAAAATATAAATTTATAATAAAAATTATCTGAAATAAAATAACAATTGAATCATATGCAACATAAGCGTTACAATTATTATTTTAAGATAAAAATATAAGGATCCTTAAGTCAGTGAGTATTTGCCAAAAATAAATTACGTTTAAAACAAAATTTAAAGTATATCTTATCCATGTATTAAAAAAAAGATTTTATTTCTTTCAATTTAAGTATTAAAACTATAGTATCTTGCACAGTATTTGTTGAAAAAGAATGTTATAAATTATCTCAAAAATAAATCATGTACAAACACATAGGGGTGAGCATTATGGAGTATATAATGTTATAGTTCAATCTTCATTCCATGTTTTTTTACTAAAATTATTAGTTCATTTCAGTTTAATCTCAGTTTAGTCTAATATGGATTTATTCCTTTTTAGTTTTATGTTAAATAATTATTTAAAATATAAATAATATATATATATATAACAAAAATTTCTCATATAACACATCAAACCTATAACAGTATTCAAAATATAACTCTTCACAAGCGTCACTTATTATCTTCCCTATCCTATGTTCAAAATTCATCTAGCATCTTTTATGTATCACATCTTCTACGTCTTCTATTTCTAACTTTTACTTTGTTAGTCAAAATCGAAAAGCTTGTTTATGTTTATTTAATCAATTTTGGCATTAGTTCTATGGGTTGCTTGTTGTCCTTTAAGTTAGCCAATGGACATTTCCTCTTGTTCTCTCCACACTCTTTTAAGGTATATGTCCTCTGTCTCGCCATTTGCTTTTAAAATTGGTTTATTTTATGTAGAGCGTATATATACATATATAAGAATTGAATTCATGGATTTGTTCATTTCAGTCTGTCATAATTTAAACTAAATATTTTTTTTCACGTACCACATCCCGTCTTACATGGTAATGACTGGAGCATATTTATTTAAATCATATAAACTTGAGTTAAATAAAATAACTTAACTTTATTAATAATAAAATAGACGAGAAGTGTTACATCCCTTAAATATAAAACATAAACATATGTACGATACTCTAAATTTTCTTACTTACATTACTAAACAAAAATAAGAAACAGTAATCTTAAAATCAGAATCTAGACTTCAGAGATTTCCTATGTATCACCGCTCACTCTATAGCAATATCTTCTATATCTGGAGAGCGATAAGAGAGGTGAGATAAAATATATCAATAAATAATATTATAAAATCACAATATAATACATGCAATATATAGTTTCTTTACACATAACAGAACATATATCATATAATCTTTTCAAAACATAAATGAATCAGAAGACGAAAGTACAAATCACAAATCAGATGCATGTTGTTTACTTCATCACTATTATGGAGGATCAATCAATTACCATACATTATGCATAGGTATAGATATTTATCATTGCTTTCTCGTGTACCCGAACATGGAACGTCATACATGAGTACCTTAAAAAACTGCTACTCCCCGAACATGGAACAATTAGGCACACAAATCAAATTATTTCTCCATATACCCGAACACAGAACAGTTATGTATGGATACACACTTACCACTTCGCTAATACACTCGAACACGAAACGGTTATGTACGGTCATATTGAAGCCTACCATAATGCATGTGCTTTCGAATAACTTTTTTACATAATGAGTGATGCACACAATCAAAATCACATTTCGAAAACACAAAGCAAAATAACATTTATAACGAAATAAAACTTTAACAAATACTTACTTAACAAATATGAAAGACAAATTAAACATGTGCACATTTTTATACTGAAAATACGTAAAATACTTCAAAACTATGTAAGTTATGAATTGATAATATCCACTTACCTTAGGTACTTAGCAGTCGTAGTCTTAATTCCGATAGGGTTTCAACTTTATTTATGATTTTTTTCTCTAAAAAATTTGATAGGGTTTCGAGATAATTTTTGGTCATTTTCTTGACTCAAAAATATCAAACACAATACTAAAAAACTAATCCCAAAAATCAAA